AGTCTCCCCCACGTGTTCCACGGAGGTTTCAAGGCAGCAGGACCCCTGCGGAAAGTACTGGAATCCTGCCCCAGCCCCACGGGGAGGGGGCGCCGGCGGGACCCAGACTCTGTAGGGGTGGGTAGTCGCCTTTGATTGTCCAGATACTGAACACAGACTGGTATTGAATTCAGCCTGATGCTGCTGTAGGCCTGCTCCCGTCTCCTGCGAGGGCAACAGTCTACAAGATTCCTGGCTACAAATCCATTAAAAGGAAAATGCTCTCTTTCCAAAGACAAACGCGGGAGGGAGATAGGGAGAGGGAGGGAAAAGGGGGGGGGGCAAGACTATAAATGAATACATTGGAACATAAGTAAATGTCAATCTTTAAAACCGAAGATAGTAATCCTTAAAACGGAGAAATTATATTTAAGGACAAGAAAAAGGAGGGCCCTGCGACAGCGAGGAAAAGACAGCCAGGTTGTTAAAGTGCGCACACTCTTCGGATCCTGGGAAATGTCCACGTTCAAATAAACAAGCGCCCGAGCGAGCGCGAGCTGAGCGCTTTCTTGCTGCCGATAAAAGCGAACGTTTAGACTGAGAAAAAGCGAGATTGATTTACGAATCTGAACGCGCCGGTTTTATGGCCGATCACAAATCCGTCAGCGCTCAACTCACGCTGGGAAACTTCCCAACTCCGTGTTCCAATCAAACCCGCTCGCAGTCACCGCTTCCCAAGGAGACCCACCAGGCGTTGAGGCCGCCTCCAGGGCCCTAGTGGGACTCAGCAGCCTCCTGCCCTGGCGGGGAGGCAGGCCACAGAAGTCAGCGAGGGAGTGCAAAGGTCCCAGGGAGCGGGGCGGGGGTGGGGGAGGTCACAAGATTGGAACGCCCCACCCGGGGGGGGGGGGGCACTAGAGCCGTGGAAAGTGAGCCCCAGCAACTGTCAGTTCCAAAACGGTTTAGATCTGGAAATGAGAGCAAGGGGGAGTCTTAAGCGGTGAACCCGGGGAATAAAAGCAGCCTTCGGCGAACCCCAGCCTTTCCCTTTTAATGTAGATCTTCTTTTTGGTGTACCCCAGAATTCTCCATCTGGAGAGCAGTTTGAAGAAGCTCTACAGGACTAGGTCTTTGTCACTTGTGCCTAGAGAGCGCCCACAATCAGCTTCCAAGCCCCGGATAGTTGCAATATCCAAGTGGACCGCCCAGACTGCCTCTTTGCTCACCCCTTTCCTTCCCGATGCCCCAATTTCACCATTTATGCTACCCAAGGGCCGAGAAAAGGACAAGCACTTGAGGTAGTTCTTATCTAAGAGTCCCCAGATTACAGGAAAAGATTTATACAACGTGAACCAGAAACTCCTCACAGTTTGCCAGCAAAGCCCTGTCTCTTCCTTTCTTAAGGAGAGCGGTCCCTCTTCCGAATTAAAAAACCTCTCCCTCCCGGCTCCATCCCTCCTTCCTTCCTCCCTTTTGATGGGTGCTGCTGGGTCGTGAATGTGGAAGATGAAGTATTGATTAGAGAGGGTCTGGGATCGAGCTTCCCTCCTTAGCAAATCTTCCATCTGTCTCTTGAGAAGTTTCTGCAAACTTTGGTTAGCACAGCGGAGTGGGTCCTGGAAGCCGCCAACCTGCAACAGCCCTCCTTCCGTTTCTTTCTCCTCCAGTTGCTAAGGGTTGCTAAGGTATCCAAGGACTTAGAAATGGAAGTTTGGAGCACAGAAGGGAAAGATGATTATAACAATAACTTCCTAAACAAAGGAACATCAGTAAATGGGTTGAGAGACTGTAGATTTTGAGAGAGGGGGAGAAAAAAAGGAGAGGAAGAGAGCCAGAGTTCGAGGCCTGAGAAGTAAGGCCCCAGGAGAGAATGTTCCTCTCTCTCCAGTTCAGGAGAGTTGATGGTCTAGAGTCCCAAAGACAAAGTCTGTCTAACCTCTGCTATCCTTTAGTAACTCTTCCTTCAGTTTGCTTTAGGCAAAGCTAAAAAGGAGAGGTGCAAATGGACGAGGGGTAGGAGAGGAGGCTGAAGCCCAACCTAGGGAAGGGACTTCCAAGAGACAGACCAGCACCCTACTTGGCTCCCATAGGAGTTCTGGGCTAACTTACAAAAACAAAACAAACAAACCAGCAACAGAAAGACACACTTTTCTTCCCAATCCACAACAGAAGAAATGATCCAGAAATTCTGAGATAGCAAAAGATTTAGGCACCATTAGGGGGGTGGAGAAGCTGGAACCCCTCCCTGAAGAGGTGTGACTTTCCCTCTGGGGCAGGAAGCAAGAGCTAGCACAATGTCCAGTCTCAGAGAGGTCAAGGGGCTTCCGAGGTCATTTTGTGGTTCTAATACCAAGCTAATCGCCTAGAAAACGTGGCCTCTCCATGAACTCTCCATCCTGCCAACCTCCCGCCTCCAAACGCCAAGTGAGGCCTCAGGGAAAAGGGGCCGGCACATTCAGGTCTGAGGCCAGTTCTCCGATGCCTCAGCCTGAGAAGTAAGGCCCCAGGAGAAAGAACAGAGCCCCCAAACCCAGAAGCCAAAAGAAAGGGAGCTGAACACTGAGACTCCAGGAGGCCGGGGGGGGGGGACAAAAGAGAATTTCTCTGTCAGAGCACCTGGCCCTGAGCAGCTTCTCCTTTTCAGAGAATAAAAGATTTGTCTAGAATCCCAAGCTAGACACCAGAAGGAAACCCAAGCGAATCCACTTCTACCAGCTCCAAGGATGGATTTCATTTTTCCAGGAGGCTGCCGTGACAACACGTCACTGGTAAGCAGTGTAGACAATCCCAGGAATACACAGAGTGTGTACCTTGCTAGACACAGGCTGGTACACGCACGTACAGGCGCTCCCCCAAGCCCGCCTGCATTTTTCAGAAACCAGAAAGCACTTCTGAAAAGTCTTGCAAACAGCTTTCTTCCCTGGTGTTTTTCAGGGCCCTGACACCTCTGTCCCAACCAGTTCAAACACTCTCCAGGTGTCCAGGCCTCTCTCCTTCTCCGTCTCTGTCTCCGCTGCTCTTCCAAACATCAGTCATCATAAACTGAAGCAAATCTGCCCAAGCGGCCACCATAAAAACCCCACAAAGATGGTTGAAAAAGAAAAAGGATGAGGTGAGATTTTTTTTTCCTTTTACTTGTAAAGACAGCCCATAAAATGATTTGAAAGAAAAAAAGTCACCCAAGCCAGGGCTTTGTTACCTTCTGTACCTCTTGCCCGCTCTCGCCTGAGCGCCTGAGCACCGCTGGTCCCATTCATGACGAAAGGCTTCTTCCAAACTGAGAGAAAAAAGTTTTCAACTTTATGGTTCCAAAATTTTTCCCCCTTGCAGATCTGGGAGAGGCGGCTAAGACTTTTTTCCCTCAACAGCCGGTCTGCGGAGATTTGCTGTTGAATAATAACAAAGGAGAGAGGATACGTATTTAAAGAAAAGAAGTGATTAATGGTTGTCTGTATAATTCTCACATTTTTCTTAGCTCTTGTCTGCACAGAATGGCTGTGAACTTTAAGCTCCATAGAAATCTTCCTCGTCGTCCTCTTCTTCTTTTCTTTCTTTCTTTCTTTTTTTCTTTTAAGATTCTATTCATACCTTCTAAGGAGCAGCTTTGATTTGATTCTTTAGAGACATTACTGGGGGGAGACCTTATGGTTTTTTAAGAACTGTTTTCCCCCCTCAACTAAGGGCTGTCTTAGCGCCTCAAAACTAAAACATCACACCATCCCGGGAACAAAGCTAAGTTCCTCATCCTCCTCCAGGTCTGCAGACAACCCTCCCTCCCTCCCTCCCTCCCTCCCCTCCTTCCTCCTTCCTTTCTTTCTTAATTTCTTTTTTGTTTTTTAAAACTAATCTCTTGGTTGCATTTTAATGGGCAATTCTACTGCCCTGGGGACACTGGCCCAATGGGTTCTCTGGCCTTCCTCAGACTCCCGCTACCCTTACAGGCTAAACAAAGAAATGCAAAATAAACAACAGTCAAACATGTGAATGGTATTGGCTCTTTATTTTCTGGAAAGAAATGGGACTAAAGGGGGGAAAAAAGACCAAAAACTAAAACAAAACGACTTTTAATTGTATATTCTCTGTGGAGCCTGGAGCTTCTTAGAGAAGAATGTGACTGCACCCTGGGCCATCACTGGACCACGGACCCCAAGGGTTGAGTTCCAGACCTTTGAACTTTTTGCCTGGATTGCACAGAAGTGACCCAAACCTGGCAGAGGTTTGTGATAATCACCTGGACCCCTTCCCCTCCCCCACTCCATTCTAGGGGTAATTGGGATCTCAGATACAGACAGCTATTTGGTCCCCAGCCTTACTTTCGATACTTTCAACGAGAAAGAAAATGAAAATTAATACAGGAGCAGGGCTTCACAAAAGAGGCCATTTGTCTTCTTGATTATCTATTTGCTTGTCAGAGTTTGAGCTATGGCACCGGCTAGTTCCTTTGTAATATAAAAATACTCTGAAAACCTGCAAACACCCAGAAACATCTGTGCAAAAAATTAGACTCATTAAAGTCTTAAACACCTCAGAGGAAAGCGATACCTTCTTATGCGGGAAGGAAAGAGGCCGACCTCGTGGAGTTCTCTCTCGAACTTTAATAACCAAAGAGCTGTCTGTCTAGAATGAGACAGCTTAACTGCATTTTATTTGCTTATGACAAATAAATCACGGTATGAAAGACTTTGCTCTCCTTAAGCCTCTGGTGTCTTACAATGAAACACACACTCCCATTGGGGCCTGGGATCAGCCCTCCCAGTCCTTGCGATCCATTTCTGGACTGGAGGGGAAACAATTTTTTTAAGCCTCAAACAAAATCCATCCACTCCAAAGAGAAAACAAACCAGTTACCATGATTTGGAAACCTCTGGGGTAGAAATTCCCATTGGAGCCTTCAAAACAAAGCCAAAAACAAAAAAAAACCCCACTTGATTGTGAGGCCAAATCCACTAGGGTGCTTAGCACATACACTGGGCGGCACTTGCTCATATATTTAGCATCAACATTCCAACAAAAACACGATGTGATGGTCACAAGAAACCAAACATTTATTTCTGTTGTCACTCTGTACAGGACACAAATTTTCACACCATGGAAAGGTTCTAGTAGGCTCAGGCAGCCCCGGAGGTAGGAAGGGGCCTGGTTTGGAATGTCGGAAAGAGAACAGGGGAAAAGACATACATGACATAAAATAATAATAATATTAGCATTAATAATAATAATAATAATAAACAATGCAACAGTGATAACAATGGGAGAGGGAGAAGGTTCTGCAACATTGTCCTTCCAGAGTAGGAGGGCCACAGCGTTTTATTTCCTAATTTCACATTCATTTGTGGTCTAAGAGAAGGCCTCTGCTGAAGAACTGTGGATTGGCCAGGAGACATTCCCAGCTCCCAGAACTCAACTGCCCCTCACCCTGCCAGGCCTGACAGGACCTTCTAGTAGAAGGCCCTCCTGGGTGTCTCAATCTCTTTTTTTATATTTCTTGGGTTCAGATTCCGGAACCCACGTTGTGAAGACCGCCCCTCGCTTCCCTTCTGTTCCCCCTTCTAAACCTATGGTGGAAGGGGGTGAACAGTCATCCCCACCCACCCACCCAAGGTGGGCACCGACAGGGAGAGAAGTTGTGTGTGTGTTTGTTACCGTGGCCAAAACACTGTGCTATCTGGCAGTCAGAGGGTGCATTCGCTGCGTGTCAGGAGTAAGGGACAAAGAAAGACAATCCAGGCTGTGGTCCAGCAGCGGCGGCAGCAGGCAGCAGCAGAGGCGGCAGCAGCGGCCGAGCCCGGCCTCATTTGTTAGCGAGTGTCGAGGTAATGGTCGCCACCGAGGCTCGTCCTCTCCTCGGCAGAGTAAACAAGACAGATGGGCCCAGGCCTGGCATGATTAAAGATGAAATGTGGATCCATCTTCACCAAAGCTGAAAACCAGGCGCAGCAGACTCCTCCATTTCTCTTTCTGTCTTTTCCTTTCTTCCTTCTTCTTTTCTTTCTTTTCTTTTCTTTTCTTTTCTTTACTTTCTTTTTTTTTTTTTAAGGAAGAAAGCAAGAGACTTGAATCTTGCTTCCGGAGGTCTTCAACCGGCTCCCTATTGTCGTTTCTATAAATAAGGCTTCCCTACCCCCCCCTTCTCTGTATTTATTCCTTATAGATAAAGTGGGAGCAGAGTAGATAGGGTTGTTTTGTGGGCGAAGCCTGGGGACCCTCCCATAACCCCAAATCCCCCTTCGGTGCTCGTGCCCACCCCCGCCCCCCAGGTTCAAGCTCCTGCTTGGGGGGCACTAGAGAGTGGGAGGGCCTCCATTGGGCCGGCCAGGGGGTCCTCCGGCTGTGCCCGAGGTGCCACCCGAGCGGATCTTGGTGTTGGGCAACTTGTGATCTTTTTTCCACTTCATGCGCCGATTCTGGAACCAGATCTTGATCTGGCGCTCCGACAGGCAGAGCGCGTGGGCGATCTCCACCCTCCGGCGCCGCGTCAGGTAGCGATTGTAGTGAAATTCCTTCTCCAGTTCGAGGACTTGCTGGCGAGTGTAGGCGGTCCGAGAGCGCTTGGGCTCCCCGCCGGAGTAATTGGGGTTTACTGGACACACACAGAGAGGGAGAAAGAGAAAGTTTTATTGCCCCCGAAAGGGAGGAGGGAAAGCCCTTTCTTTCTTCCAGCTAACTTCAAGCCTCCAGGTCCTACCACCTCATCTTGGAGGGAGGGGGTCGGAAAAGGAAGACAGACGTCGGGACCCCCGGAAAAGAAAAACCTCAAACTTTTGAAAGGCTAAACTGTCGTCCTTGCTGCCTGGGGGAGGGGGCACTGTGAGGACTCTTGGAAAGATTTCATCTCTCACTATTTGGCCTGAGGACCCCGGGTGGGAGAATGAAGGGTGGAAGAGGGAGGGGTGTTGCCCTAGACCTTCCCTGGGTTTAGTCCCCACCCTCACTGCTCAGATTCCAAACAGCGCCTTCTCCCCAGTAAAAACTTTTGCCCACTTCTCCAGCCAAGGAACCAGCCTGGAAGAAAGGGAAAAAAGAAATACTGGAAGTTGATTCAACTCTCTACTTAAGTACGGATTACTACCTCCTCCTCCTTCTCCTCCCCTCCTCCCACACCCCTCCCCAACTTCCAACTTCACTGGGACTGCACATCCCTGGCGGAAAAAGTCGCTGGGAGAATGGAAAAGAGGATGACTTCAAAGGCGCAGGGCCCACCAGGCCATAAAAATTTATGGGCGATGTAATTATGTGGCTCTGAAAACAGGAGACCGTAAATCTCTGGCAATGGCGAGTTTATAGCGGGGGACAATTGGCTTCCCCCAGCTCCCTCCCCCACATGCCTCGGAGGTCCCTTCGCAGTAAAGCGCCGGGGGTGGGAGGGAAAGGGATGCCCACGCACTCACCCGTGCTCACGTGAACTTTGCGCATCCAGGGGTAGACGACGGGCTCTTTGCACGCGGGGTGGGACGGGCTGGGATGCAGGGGGTTCTGG